ACATGGGAATTACACCACTTTTGTACAATGAAGCATTTATTACATATATTTTAATTTACATATTAAATACTTAAGTTATCTCTAGATGGTGAGATTACAGGTGATTCTTATTTTCCCTATTTTGCTTACTGGCATTATTTAGGTTCGTTTATTGAAACAATGAAGATCTACAAAAATAGTTTAGAGGCCGGCCCCGTGGCCAAGTGGTTAAGTTCATGCGCTCCCTTTGGCGGCCCAGGGTTTCGCCAGTTCGGATCCTGGGCGCGGACATGGTACCACTCACCAGGCCATGCTGAGGTGGCGTCCCACATGCCACAACTAGAAGGACCCACAACTATGTACCAGAGAGAGAAAAAAGGAAAAAAATAAAAAATCTTAAAAAAAAATAGTTTAGCTTCTACCCTATATGATCTCAGTTGTGTACTTCTATTCATAGTCATGTGTGTGCACAAAAAAGTCTGGAAGGAAATGTACTAAAATCTAAAGGTGTCTTTCTCAGGCTAGTGGGATTATTGGTCATTTTTTGTTTTATATTTTATATCGCTCTGTATTTTCCAGCTTTTTAAAAACAGTAAGCCTCTGTTACTTTTATAATATGAAAAAGGCATTTTTTAAGACACTAACAAGATTGCCTGTGATACAAGCACAGAAAGGAATGTCATCTGCCTTTTAGCAACTCATCTGACACACAGACCCAGAGTACACACACACAACATACCAACTCCCACACGCACCTGCTCACACATACACACTCATTCTCTCATACACATACACCAGCTCCCACATACATGCTCATTCTTTGTCACTCACACACAACACATCAGCTCCCACATGCACCTGCTCACACACATGTTCATTCTCCCTCACACACACAACACACCAGCTCCCACATGCACCTGCTCACACATATGCACTCGTTCTCTCACGCACACAACACACCAGCGCCCACACATACCTACTCACACACATGCACTCATTCTCTCTCACACATATGACACACCAGCTCCTTCACACACCTGATCACACACACAGACTCATTCTCACTCAGTGAAACACACAACATGCCAGCTCCCACACACACCTGTTCACACATACGTACTCATTTTCTTTCTCAGACATACAACACACCAGCTCCCACACATACCTGATCACACACATGCACTCATTCTCTTTCACACACATAACACACCAGCTCCCACACATACCTGATCACACACATGCACTCATTCTCTTTCACACACATAACACACCAGCTCCCCCACACACCTGATCACACACAGACTCATTCTCACTCACTGAAACACACAACATGCCAGCTCCCACACACACCTGTTCACACATACGTACTCATTTTCTTTCTCAGACATACAACACACCAGCTCCCCCACATACCTGTTCACACACACGCACTCATTCTCTCACACACACATAACACACCAGCTCCCACACACACCTGATCGCACACACACACTCATTCTCTCTTACACACACACCAGCTCCCACACACACCCGCTCAAACACACATGCTCATTCTCTCTCACTCACGCACACAGAAAACATACTCACACACACTCAAATTCAAGGCCAGGATGGAAACTGAAAAGGACGCTGAGGCAGCCATATGTCCCTCAGGACTTCCAGCCACCCCCAAGCAGGGGTGCAGGAAGGGAAAGCAGGGGGACCCAAGTGTGGGCACATCCTTCAGCAGCCTACTCGTGCAAGCACTGACGGGGACAGCCAGTGCCCACAAGGTTACTGAAGGACACTGCTTCAGCGTGTAGGACTCTCTGGAAAGGATCAGTGACTACTAAAACACAAATGCTGAAGTGGGCATAATAATAAAATGTAAAGATAATCTTTACAATTATAATTAATTCCTTTGAAAAATAAAACAAAAAGACACGAATCCTTTCTTGCGATACCCTGCTTTACGATGCATTGGTGGGGGCCACAAAAGCATCAGTTCTCTCAGTATGAAGGGGTCACGTTGAGGAGGAATCTTCAGAGACGGTCAAGGCCTTAAGAACAACCTATTCCAACTTCACACCTAGTGCCTGGGCACATGTGACTATGAATTCTGCTTTGCCAAGATATGACCAGAAGCCTCCCCTGTAGTCTTCTTTCTCCTTTCCTCTGCTGGTTCCTGCTAACACGGGTTACATTACACCACACCTGATCTGCCACCAGATGAGGTAATGAGACCCAAACACACCAGACACTGCTAAAGAAGGGGGGACTCAAAAGCCATCTGTATTATCAATGGGAGCTGCTTCTATTAAACATTCAGGTAATCCACTTAAATAATTTAAAATGCTTCCTTCATAAACAGATCATGTAAAAGACACTGAACCTGCTACCTCTCAAAATTTGACAAGGGTTAAGATAACCTAGTTGCTATCATCAAGGACAGTAATGTGACCAGCACAAGAGTCTCATGCACTCAATATTTTGAAACCTCAAGGTGGAAAGTACAAAAACTTATGGTCTTTATTGCTGTTATCCAGCTTATCTGAACTGTTCCTAGGGTTATTTCTAAATCATGAATGTTTAAAAAAGAACCCTTATCTTTTAGAGATATATGCTGAAATATTTATGGATGAAGTGACATGTCGGGTATGTGCTTCAAATAATCTGGGGGTGGGGAGTTTACAGATGAACCAAGACTGCAGAAACTCAGCGATGGCTTGAGAGGGCATTGAGAACAGACGGTTCTCTCTACTTTTGCATATGTTTAAGACTTTTCATTTTTAAAAGTTTAAAAATATTCATCGTGAGGTGGAATTCTTCACTTTTTCTCAACTACTTCACCATTGGAGAATATTTCTTCTCTTTGCTCCTCTATAATGTATTCTGACACTGGACTTGGAAAATGCAAGCTGAGTCAGAATAAAGGCTTAGTTAGCAAAGGTTACAAAGACACAAAAATCAGCCCTTCCTTACCCCGTAAATTATCTGCTGTCCCCCAACATCCCAGGAAGCTTGTCGGAGTCCAGGTGCTCAGATCACATCCAACACGGGTTCTTCCTGAGCAGTCTGACAGAGCACACAGAAGGGGCGATGCCACTGGAGCCCTCCCTACACGCTCCCAATGCCACCAATCCCCGAGGCATCCAACCCTTCTCCCCGAACTTAAAATCCCGCCAGGAGCTACCCAAGAATTTTGACTCCTTTCTACTTTGTGATCACAAGAAAGCTCAGCCCCAAATACCAACCCAAAGTTTTTCCCACTGTGACCAAGAAGAACAATTACAACAAAAGGTGTTTCTCAAAAAAAAGGGTCTTATGGAAGTTGATAAGATGAAATTTTGTGGGAACATTCTGAGCCACCAAATCTAAGAAGCTGAGAGCCCCCTAAAGAGCATGAGTCAAAAGACCTGGGTCTAGTCCCTGTCGTAGCACTGACCATCTGGGGGCCTCAGGAAACCTATCTAATCTCTCTGGGCTTCCATTTTCCTACCTGTAAACCGGGATGAATCCCACCTGCCTACTAGCACCTTGGAGAAAAGTGGTGATGATCCAGTAAAAACACAAATTAGCCGCATATAAGTGGTCAAGTACTCTGTCAGAGTCAGAGCGATGGGAAAGAACAACAAATGTGGTACTTTCCTAACATCTCTGACGGGTGTAACGGGGAAGGGTATGTTTCACACCAGTAAAAAACAACCAAGGATGCCCAAGGTGCTTTCGGGCCCAGAGGCAAGAAGGAAAACCATCAAAAGAACTGGACGCTTTCCAGCCATCACAATCCATGCTAACTGTACAAGAAATTGTCAGTCACAGCTCTCTCTGCCCATTAGACTAAAAGATGGGAAACCCATCCTGAGTGATTTCTTCCAACCCAGAGCTAAATATGAGCATGACGCTGATGCGGACGCCGACTTTCAGGATGCTCACAGGACCGTGCACATCTATCTCCCAGAGATGAAAACTCAACAAGGAGCCCTGACTCAGGAGGATCCAGTTCTTTGCAGTGATGGCTCAAGGGACACTGTGAATACTTGGGGGGGGGCACATGGATCCCTTTTAAAAGTTGTTAATGTTACGACTGACACCCTAAATACCAGGGTGTCAATTTTACCTCTTTTCTTAAAGACCTCTTGGCTCAAACATACATATGTACTTGGGCAGCCCCCCAATAAATGTCTGCATGTGCGAGAGGTCAATAAAACACAAAAACTAGCAGATCTGCACTTTAGGCATTTCCTACTAAGTAAAACACTTAAAAGCAAACGCCAGTCATCTGTTTGATGTCTACAAGTCATTAGCCTGGTACACACACAGCCCTGCTCTTGTCTCCACCTGAGACAGAGGAGAAGGACTGGATCTGCAGGCCGGCCTTCCCCGAGAGCAGCCCAGCCCTGGGGTCCGTGTGGGACCCCTGCCCCCCTGCACTGTGCATCCCACGGCCTGTCTAGCTGCATCTCTCCTACAAGAGCGGAGCTGACCCTGACAGAGCTCTGCTCTGTGTCCATCGCAGCGCTCTCCAGCTCATTCCCTTCCCCTCGGCACAGAAGGCAAGAAGGGGATGTTTTACCATTCGCTGTCTCCCAAATGGTAAAAGGAGACAAGTCTAGGCAGAACATATGCCAGCCACACACAGTAAAGCAATTGTGCTCAAAATAGGTGTCTATTAGCATGATCCTAAGCTGCCAAGTGCAGCCCCGCCGCAAAGGCCGGAAGAAGAGGACTGCTTCAGCCAAGCCAGACCTTGGCCCTGGGCTGGGGGAGCCGCCGGGCACTTCTCCACCCTGGGGGCACGTGCCCACGCCAGGGGCTCCCCTCTGCTTAGGAAAGATCCAGCTCTTAGGAAAGATCCAGCTCATCCGGCGCCCGGAGAGGGAATACAACCTCTTTAAAGGGGGAATGCGGTTCAACCAGAGGTGAGGCAGGAGAAGCGGAGGAAAGGAAGGCGCCGGGCCCTGACCTGGCCAAGGCTCCGCCTGGCCGGGTCAGGCGCGCAGGCCAAGCTCCACACCGCGGCCTGGCGCCCACCCGGTTACCTGCTCTGCCCCGTAGACCATCGCGAACTGGACGAAATCCTCAATGCGGACGAAGCCGTCCCCGTCCCCATCCAGGGCCTCGAACACGGCCCGCAGGCGGGGGCCCTCCTCCGTACAGCCCTCGGGCTCGCTCAACAGGGGGCGGGTCTGGCTCAAGTCCAAGCAGCCGTCTGGGTCCCCGGGCCCCTCCAGCGCCGGGTCGCCCTCCGAGGGCGACGGGAAGGACGGGAAGAGGCCAGCATCACCCCGCCGGTGGTGGCCGTGGTTGCAATTCTGCACGTGGGGAGCCGGGCTCCCTGGGCAACTCGGGGGGCCGTAGTCCTCTGGCTCTTGAGTCCAGCAAAACAGCGGGTCGAGCTCTGGCAGCTGGCTGTCGGGGTCCGGTTCGGGGTCCAGATCTCGGCGTGGGTCCAGATCCAGGTCGGGGTCCAGATCTCGGTGTGGGTCCAGGTGGGGGCCGGGGTCAGGGCTGGGGTCCAGGTTGAGGTCCTGGTCGGGGCCGGGGTCCAGGTTGAGGTCCTGGTCGGGGCACGCATACAGGTTGGGATCCAGGTCTAGGTCGGGGCCGGGGTCCAGGTTGAGATCCAGGTCCACGTCGGGGCCCGGGTCCAGGTTGAGATCCAGGTCCAGGTGGGGGCCGGGGGCCGGGTCCAGGTTGGGATCCAGGTCAGGGCCCAGGTCCAGGTCGGGCCCCGGGTCGAGGTTGGGATCCAGGTCCAGGTGGGGGCCCGGGTCCAATTTGGGATCCAGGTCGGCGCCTGGGTCAGAGCCGGGGTCCAGGTTGAGATCCGGGCCCGGAAGCAGGCAGGGAGCCCCCGAGCCCGGGGTGGGCGCACGGTCACTCTCGGGGCGCGCGTCCCGGCCGGCTAGCTGCGGCCGCCCCTCCGGCCCCGGATCCCGCCCGGCGCTCAGGCCCGGCCCGGCCTCGGCGCGGGCGGCGGGGCCCAGGGGCCGCGGGGCGGGGGGCGCCGGCCGGCCCGGCTCCATCTTCAGGGGCGCGCCCCCAGCCGCGGCGCGGGCCCGCGAGGCCCCGGGAGCGGCGGGAGGCGCGGGCGGCAGACAAAGGCGCTCAGGGCGCGGCGGCGGGCGCGGGCATCCCCGCGGCGGCGCCCCGGCTGTTCGGGCTGGCGCTCGGGCCCGGCTCCGCCCTCGCCCATCGTGCCGGCGCCTCAGCGGCCCTCGGCCCGGCGGCGCGGCGGGCGCGGGCCCATGGCGGCGGGGCGCGAGGAGGCGGCGGCGAGCGGAGCCGCAGAGGAGGCCGCGGAGGAGGATGCGGACGAGGATGCAAAGCCCGAGGCCACGGAGGAGAAGCTGAGGAGGAGGATGAGGAGGAGGACTAGACGCCTGAGGTACCCGAGCGGACGCCGCCCTCGCCCCGCCCCCGCGGCCTGACGTCAGCACGTCGCGCGCGGCCGGCCACGCCCCTCGCCGGCTTGCTATAAAGGCCGGCGCGCGGCAGAGCGCGGCAGCGGCTGCTCGGGTCCCCAGGCTTTTGCGGGGTGGGAGCCAGCATCCCGATGCTTGGGCGCAGGAGGCGGGCCCCCCTCCAGCCCCCACCACCCCACCCCGCCTTGGAGGCTGCGAGCGCGGGGTGACGTCACCGCCAGGGCCCGCGGGGACGGAGGCCCCGTGCGCGGTGCGGATGGATAAACTGCATGGAAGGGCGAGCGGAAACCCAAGTATGCACCTGTCACCCAAGGGCAGAGTCTTGCCTGCGTAAAGCGCTGTCGCCAATTGACAAGCAAAGCACACGATCCTCATGGGAGGGACGAGTGCACGTGGCACCGAGCACACCCCCGCGTGGCGCCCGGTGCACGTGCGCTCGCCCCTCCTCCCACAGGCGCGCGGTGGGTGTGGACCGAGCCCCTTCGGACGTCCGCGAGCGGACAGGCCGAGGGGTGCCCAGGCGGTGGCCTGCGCCGTTCTTCCCGAGCATGGGAGGGCCCAAAGATCCGGCCGATGTCGTTTGTAACGGAAAGAATGCATGGTCAAACAGCGAGATCTTTTTTTAAACCTGTGACAAAGGTTTTTTTCATAGGATGCCCGGTGTTAATCGGCAGTCCACAGTCAAACCTCCCAAGCACTGTGGCTGTCTGACAACTGGCATCTGTTTGTCTAGATGTCACTATTATCAGCGGGGGCACAGGGCGCCAGATAGAAACACGGGCCCCCTGCAGCAGGCATGAAAGTGGAGACATGCAGGTTGGGAGCAGGTGAGCTGCCAGGCCCCAGGCGAGGCACTAAATTTAGCCTGTGATGAAGTGGATCAGGGGAAAGCATGAACTAGTATTTTTATATGCCGTGGGCACCAGCACCAGATATGTTTCATAAGCAGCTTTGGCGAGAAGCAAAGGAAACTGAACCTCTGTTTCCAAGTGTACAGTGAGGAGCAGTGTGTTAATTAACTGAGTCATCTCTCATGACAAAATCCCAGGATGCTCAGTACAAGATTTTGTGAGCCTGGCGCTGGGGAAAGAAAAGCAAGGTATCCCCCTCCCCAAACTATATTCTCAATTTCTTATAAGAGCAGTATGCTTTCATGAGGAAGATACTGCATTCAAAAGAAAAAAAAAAATCTCCAGTTTTGGTAAGAATTTAAAATTGGGCTGATGCCTTTGGCCAGAGACAATTTTCAGAGATGTGATGTGTCAGCCTTCCTAAATAGAGGTGTTAATGTAGGTGAGGTAGAAACGTCAGGAGGTGAAGGCTGAGTCCTGAGACAGAAGGTGCTTCTCCTGCTTCTGTGCCAATGCCCGAAAATCTGCATTCGTTGTCTGGCTCAAGTACCAAACAGAAGCCCAGCACGGAAATCAGGGACCTCCCTGCTTGGACCAGTTGAAGAGACTGTTGATGAAACATCGAAGGTGACAAGTTCCTCATCAGTCATTTGGACCTCAAGCATCCTCTCTGTGACCTATGGATGTTTTCCATCTGTAACATTCCCAATGAAATGAACCAGTTCCATGGTCCCTGCTGCCATTTCAAGAAGCTCCTCCACGCACACACACACCCATGCACATTTTAATTTAACCAGGTAACAGGTACCCAGAAGAGAAAGAGTGGGTGGGGTGCAGCTCACATCTGTTGGTTTGTGGGTCTTGGTGAATGTCTGTGAAAATCTCCCTCCGTGAATCTTTCCTTTTGAAAGGTACTTGGGATAAACACTTATCTTTGGAACTCTCCAAGCAGGTGGGCCTCTTAGATCCCGCTTCTTTGGGAACCTTTGGGCTGTAGGGGAAGACAGGAAGATGAAGACCAGCGAGGTGACTCAGCACATTCCTGGCTGTGTGGCACAGCCCTGTTGGAGCTGCCAGGGAGCAGAGGAAAGTGGGTCAGGACACCTCGGTGGAAGGATGCGCATGTCTCCACTGGAGCAGGGCCTCTCTATCACCTGGGTGACATCTGGCCACTGACAACGGGAAGGGGAGGGTGACAGGCAAGTCTCGATTTGATCACAGATCTATTTTTTTCAATGCACATTTTTAAAAACTGGGAGGAAATACAGCAAAATTATAGCAGACATGATATATGATTTCCCCATTTTTGCTAGTCCGATGAACTGAAAATGTCATCTCATCCTGTCTTATTTGAACTTAACTAAATGCTAATGTGGTTGAGCATTTCTTCCTGTGTTTATGGACCAGCTGGATCCCACATCTGCGAACTGCCCAATTGTACCACTTGCTTGCTTCTCTACTGGGCTCTCTGACTCTCTTTAGATAAAATCTGTAAGTTTTTGATGTTGCAAATATCTTCTCCCTACCTGTGACCCCTCCATGAACTCTTTGTTAACAAAGATTAAGCAGAAATCTTTAATTCTGAGTAGCCAAACCAATCATCTTTATCCTTGATGGCTTTGCCAATCGTAAGGAAGGGATGGACTGTTCCTTAGCTGGTGCCAGTTATCTTGACAAAATCTCACAACTAGATCCCTGTGTCACATCAGATGCAAAAGTAATCACAGAATTATCCAAGACAGAAAGGTAGAAAGCAAGAATTTAGAAATTTTAGGAGACATTGGAAAGTATCTTTATGACGTTGGAACAGGAAAAATTTTTGCACAGAGTAAAAATCACAAACTAGTAAAAGAAAAGAATGGTTGAAATTTAAACACATTAAAATGTAAGCCTTCCAAAACTGTAGGGACAGAGGTCAAATGGAGGCGGGGGGGTACGGGGGGTTGTTGTGGTGAGGGCACTGCTCTGTATGTAGTCATGATCCTCTAACAGTGCGTGTTTGTCAAAACTTGCAGAACCGTGCAGGACAAAGGGTGAATTTTACTGCATGTAAATTACCTTAGTAAAAAATAATTTGAAAAAAATTAGGAGCCAGCCCCATGGCGAGTGGTTAAGTTCACACACTCTGCTTCAGTGGCCCAGGGTTTCACCAGTTCGAATCCTGGGCACGGACCCGGCATCACTCATCAAGCCATGCTGAGGCAGTGTCCCACATAGCACAACCGGAAGGACCCACAGCTAAAAATATACTACTATGTGCCAGGGGACTTTGGGGAGAAAAAGGAAAAATAAAATCTAAAAAAGAAAAATTAGCTTTACAATAAACAAGACATGGAAGCAACCTGTGTCCATTAATGGATAAACGGATAAAGAAAATGTGGTATATAGATAATAGAATATTAGTTAGCTATAAAAAAGAAGGAAATCTTGCCATTTGCAACAACATGGATGGACCTTGAGGGTATTAAGCTAAGTGAATTAAGTCAGACAGAGAAAGACAAATGCCATATGGTCTCACTTACACGCAGAATCTAAAGAAAAAAAAAAAAAACTGAGCTCATAGATACAGAGAACAGATTGGTGGTTGCCAGAGGCAGGGGTGGGGGTGGCCAAAACGAGTGAACGTAGGAAAAATAAAATCTTTAAAAAAAAAAAGGGGGGCCGGCCCTGTGGTCGAGTGGTTAAGTTTGCGTGTTCTGCATCAGCGGCTCAGGGTTTCGCTGGTTCGGATCCTGGGCACGGACATGGCACTGCTCATCAAGCCGTGCTGAGGCGGCATCCCACATGCCACAACTAGAAAGACCCATAACTAAAATATACAACTATGTACCAGGGGGCTTTGGGGAGAAAAAGGAAAAATAAAATCTTTAAAAAAAAAATGAGTGAATGGGGTTAAAAGGTACAAACTTCCAGTTATAAAATGAATAAGTCCTGGGGACATTGTGTACAGCATGGTGACTATCAAGAATAATACTGTATTGCATATTTGAAAGTTGCTAAGAGAGTAGACCTTAAAAATTCTCACCACAAGAAAAGAAATTTGTAACTGTGTGGTGATAGGTGTTAACTAGATTTATTGTGATGCCATTTCGTAATATATACAAATATCAATTCATGTTGTATGCCTGAAGCTAATATAATGTTATACGTCAATTATATCTCAAAGAACCTTTTGTTTGACAAAAGACACATGCTAGTCTGGTGTCTTAGTCTGCTCAGGCTGGAGTCACCGAATACCATGCACTGGGGGCTTCAACAACAGATATTTATTTCTCACAGGTCTGCAGGCTAGCAAGTTCAAGATGAAGGTGCTGGCAAATTTGCTCCTGGTGATCGCTCTCTTCCTGGCTTGTGCTAGGGGCCTCCCTCTAGGTATGTCCTCAGGTGAGGGAGAGAAACCTGTCTCTCTCTTTCTTTCTCTTCTTTCTTTCTTTCTTTTCTTTTCTTTTCTTTTTTTTTTTTTGAAGAAGATTAGCCCTGAGCTAACTACTGCCAATCCTCCTCTTTTTGCTGAGGAAGGCTGGCCCTGAGCTAACATCCGTGCCCATCTTCCTCTACTTTATATGTGGGACGCCTACCACAGCATGGCTTTTGCCAAGCGGTGCCATGTCCACACCCGGGATCCGAACCAGCAAACCCCGGGCCACCGAGAGACAGAACGTGCAAACTTAACTGCCGTGCCACCAGGCTAGCCCCTCTTCCTCTTCTTATGAGGCCACTAATTCTACCTGAGGCCCCCACCCTCCTGACCTCATCTAACCCTAACCACTTCCCAAACACCCAGCTCCAAATACCGTCCCATTGGGGGTTAGAACGTCAACTTGGGAATTTTGAGGGACACAGTTCAGTCCACAGCAACAGGAAAGAGATATTTAGAACAGAAGTAAATGACAAAGGATTTATCTCTAGAGTACACAAAAAATTCTTCAAAGACCAGTAAAAGAACAGCAACCCAGTAGAAAAGTGAGCAATGAATATGAATAAGCAGTTTCAGAGGAGAAAACTCAAGTGGTCCATAAACATATAAAAAGATGCTGAACCCACTGGTACTCAAGCGAGTGAGGAAAGGAAGTATTTGACGTGAAGTAGAGTAAAAATAAGTCTGATGCCAGTAGAGAGCGTGGGGATTCACGCCAC